GCCATGTGGCTCCTACTGAAGAACTTGAACCCTCCACCACCGTGATTACCCACCCCATACTCCTTTTGCCCCCTGAATTCTCCACCTCAAAGCTCAAAGCACACTGGAACCCACAACCTTATCTTGAGTGAGTCCTTGGCCCTCAAAGGGCATGCTTGCAAAATAAAGAAATGGAAGTAAATGGCCTATTAGGTTCTTATTTCTACTTGGGAGGATGTATAGGGTAGTGATCAGAAATTCACTGTATGATATCCAGCCAGACTGCCAGGTTCAAACTCCTAGATCAATCATCTGCAACCTGGGTGACTTTGTGCCTCAGTTTCCTCATCTGTTAACTATAGGTACTAATAATAACCTACCTCTGAGGAAGGCTGAGAGGATTAAATGGGCTAGCACATATAAAAGTCTTTGATCAATACCAGGACATGTAAGTACTCAACAAATATCCAGAACTATTACTGTTCCAATTCAGAGATTTCATGACTGTAGTCTTATTCTGGATATTGAAAGTTATTCCATGCCTGGACTCAACATTTAAAAAAAAAAAAAATAGTGCCAAAGGAAAGAGTCACAGCTGCCAACAATTTGGGGACGTAATTAGAATTTAAAATTAAGAATTTCTCTTCTTCCTTTGGTTGTCTGTTGAAATCATATTTTTACTGGTTTATTTCTTTACTTTTGGAGCTTTTGACTGCATTGGATTCTACTCAAAGCAACATGAATCCAATTTCAATTCCTCTGATGTTTATAGCATGGTGCCAGGTGCTGGGGATTAAACACACCATTCTCACCTGTGCAGAAATACAGCTAGGAAGGATTTTCTGTTGCATTTACAACTTGACTGAGCAGGAAATTCTTTAATCATATATTTTCCCTTCAAACCTGTAGACTAGGTTTCCCTGTCTTCAGAAATTTAACACAACATGAATGTCTGAGGACCCTCTCCTTTTTAAGTGAGCTATGTTCTTTTTTGCCCAAATGTTAATAGAATTATTTTCTCAGCCTTTTATTTTTACAGTTTTTTAGCAAGTCTATTTTTGCTTACTTTTCTTGGAAATCAATCCATGTAATCAGGTGACTATCCAAGTTAAGAAAGTTTTCTTTAATTGTGTCTTGATTCTTAATTTCATGCCAATTAATATGTTTGCTTTCTCAGAAACACCATAATTCTTGGGTTTACTTTCTGTTCTCTATAGCTAAGAATTTCCCTTTTATTATTTCCTATATACTCTAAGACAAACTCTGAAATACACCCTATTCATCACTAATTAAATTTTCCAGTGCATCAGTTTTGCTTCTTTACTGCCTCTAAAATCTATTTAAATTCCGCTACTGTATTTTTAGGTCCCTGGCAGTCTTTTTATATTTCATCCAATTTTTTCACACCTTGTCACAATTTATCTACTGTTTATCTTCATAGACTTCTGCTTCAATTCCACAGATGCCCTGCCTTCTTTAAACCTATCAATCATACCAAAAAGTTTTCTAAAAATCTCTTCTGGTTCTTGCCACAAATCATTTTCTGAAGCCTCATTTTTTTTTTTGTCTATAGCATGATGTATTCATTCCTTATTGGGCACTAACTTTTTTAAAGCTCTATATTTTTTCCCCATTTACATAACCTTGGACCTGGGATGATCTATTCAGAACCTATATGTGTCAACTAAAGGTGTGTGGGTTTCTACCAGCTCCACGGTTGTGCATTTGATTGCTTCTCAAATCCTTTAACCTATCTATAGCTAAAACATTGTTTGATGCACATGATGGATAACATTATTTAGAAGGGAAATGACGTATGAGAATATGAGAATTTTTAAATTAAATATTAAGCATATAGAATACATTGGTAAGAGGTGTGCCTCTTAAATATAATCTTGTGTTATATTTACTGAGTAAAAAAAAAAACAAAAGAATGAGACAGTGGATTTGAGAAAACAAGAACACAACATGAGTAATGTGGATGAAGAACACGTTTGACGTTGCATTCAACTACAGAGCAAAGAAACCCGCTGAGACACGGTACAGCTTCCTCACCCATCATCCCAATCATAAGGCCTCCACCTAAGGTTAATGATACTGTAATAATAAAAAAAAAAGCCACACATGCAAAAGAAGCAAACAGCAATCAGGGATGAAGCAACATATGTTCTGGCTTGTTCCAGCTCAAGAAAAAACTGGGTAGGCGTTTGAGGAGAAAGATACATTAGATAATGTTTGAAATCATAAGGAGGGCCCAGGGTGAAATAAAATAGAATATACAAAGCCTGTCACCTGGAGAGCACTAGAGAGCCTGTTGGGTATGACACATTGGTGGTTATCTTCCCAGAATGTTTGTAGTAGGAGTAAACGAATCAGTTGTTTTGGAATCTACATTGCCTCATTTGTCCTACCTGTCAATGCTGCTGGCTGGAAGGAATCTTGAACTAGAAATGGAGGAGTTCACTCCCCGGATTTGCATGCTCTGGCTGGTTTTCTAGCACTTATAGAGCACAGACTTGCATGTTCTCTGTACCTCTGGCTGCCACATTAAAGGGTCAATCTCAATGGTGCAAGAATGAAGAGTCAAGAGCTCCTAAATTTGAGCATAATTCCGTTTCTCATATGCTTCTATCTACTGTAGTTCCACTGTCCTCCCTGTATGGCCTGACTCTCTGACACTCCAAACAGAGGGGACAAATGAAATATATGAACCCAACAACATTGCCACCAGGGTTCTTTCTGTCCTTGTCCCACCAAAAATAGTCTCCTTGTGAAGACTAAACTGCCCAGGGTGGAAAGTGCCAATACCTCTCTTCACCTTCCTGTGCATTGTATTGGGGGAGTTTCATTCAGTCTTCAAATGGCTAGAGAAAGAAGAAACGTTTGATGATCCACTGGCTGTCACTCCTAGATTTTAGCATCATTGCAAGCTTTCATCTTACATAATTACAATTTCATATGTAATTATGGTGGAAAGTTGGGAAATATTTTCTGGCACAAGATATATCTTCCCAACATAATTGAGGTGAATGGTTAGTTTCATAGATTACGTATTTCTATATTTTGGGATGAAAAAAATTAAAGTGAGGTTTATGTCACTAAAAAAGTCAGTTGGCACATAAAATATTGTACACATTTTAACTAATGACAAAAGTGCTTTATTTAATAAGAAGAAACATTTTAATCAATTGAAAAAGATTAGTAAAGAGTAAGTTTACTGATTCACAGAAAGATTTAAGAATCTCACTCTCATTTTTGTAAATAGATAAACTTTCCCTTTGTGATTAAAATTCTGAGAGATCCCAATACAAATGAGAAGATGTGTTTATCAAGGAAAAGAATAAGAACATAAGCCATGCCAGACAATGCCAAACCTTCACATAGGTCATAGTTATCCGGCTCAGTATCCAACAGCAATGCCAGCTCAGGCATGGAATCTTCAAAACATCAACCCCAAAAAGAACCACGGAAGAGACTATGTATTTGATTATCTGACATAAATTTGACCCATGTGACCTGCATTCTGTGGAAAGGACTTGGAAGAGCCACCTCAAGCTGCCTCACATTATCAATGAGAGATTTTTTATACCACAAACAACCTTTGACAATGAGAACCCTGTATGGGGAACATGGAACTTGTCCCTCACAGCACAAAGAGGTCATTAATATAGAGGAAAACGGGGGGACCGGGGCCAGCATGACAGCTGAACTTAACGTACCTTCTCCGGCAAAAACCGCCACAGCCACACTTAACCAACACAGTGGCAACTGTGAGGAGGACGCTCATAGGGCAGGGCAGGGAAACAGGGCCACAACCAAGACCAGAAATTCACCTTGACGGAACGACTGTCCACGTCCTCGAGTTAGACATTGTTAGCAGTCATTCCAGAGTGTTCAGCTAAGGCAGAAATCGAGAATTCAGACAGATCTATCAGAGAACGAAGGTCCCAGGTTCTGGAGTCTTGAACACTCAGGCATACGGCTTTCAATAGACTAGAGCTTGATATGAAGCCAAGGGCCTTCCTGACAAAGGTTTCCGCATGTATCATGCCCAAACCCACGCCTGCTCTCAGGATGTGACCAGGCATAAGGCCTCCAGGAGGAAAAAGTCCATGGGGCCGGACTCCTGACAGAGGGTGTTGGGGAGCCTGGCAGTCTGCAGTGAGGGCAGCGCTCCCCTCCCCCACCTAACATGCTGGGTATTTAGGGGTAACTTCAGAGGAGAATTCTCGAAAGAAGGGGGTGAAGAAGACATAGAGGATCGTGCTTTGTGATGATGGCCTAGGAGACTCAATAAGGAAAGCTGAGACTAATTTTTAAATCCACTGCCACTCTCCTAGTTCAACGTCAGATTCACAAAACATATCCTGATCTGCGCAGAATGAATGAAGTCAGGACAGGCTTCCATCCTTGAGCTCTCACCTAAATCCACCCCCAGTGGGTAGCTTTTCTCCCCGGTGAGAAGCATCTTACAGGGCATCTTCCATGCAGTAGAAGAAGATGGGAGAGGAAGAGGCAGGGCGTCTTGCCCAGCGATGACTCGGGTTTTAACTACCATAGAAATAGAGCTGAGTTTCCAAAACACATTCCATTTCAACATTTCCTCCTACTGCCCATGTTAAAGTGGTTTCTGAATTTATCCTCCCCTAGAAGTGGTCTAATGACTTGAACTTTCAGGATTCCTTTATAAGGAGGTAGGGAACTTAAAGTTAGTACCATTCTCAATTACATGATCTGCAGGTCACAGAGGGTGAATTATATGCTTGAAAGCTTAGTATGGTGAAAGGTCAGGGAGGGAGCCAGGGACCTCGATACTAATGGAGGTAGATGAAAGTCAGCTACAGGGTGAGAGAAGAATCAGGACACACACAGGCCCAGTGGCCGGAGGAAGGGGGCTTGGAGCTGTGACAGAATTCGGTCAGCTTTAGATATCAGCAAGAATGCAAATGCCCATGTTATGCCAGGGGGAGACCAGACTGCCACTTTCTTCCAGCTCCTGGGTCCTAGACAGTGTGCTCCTTTCAAGGACAGCAGACCCTGCCATAGAAGAGAATGGTTTGGGTTTTGTTGTGTCTGATGAAAAAGAGAAAAGGGTGATCAGCAGTAAACGTCACCCAGGAAGGTATGGACATTCCCATGCCAACGGCCCCACTGGCGGCAACTGCCTGGGTGCCATTTTCATCCACTTCCACAAAGGTTTTATGGACAACTTTTGACAGGTGCAAATTGGGACTCGGAGAAATTCCAGTAAGATCAGCCTTCCCTTCCTCAAAGATATCCGTGATGCCCATGTCCTGTAGAATAGAATTGAGATCGTAGCTGTCTTCCAGTGTGAACTGCGGAAAGGAGACAGCTACTGTTTCTTCTGACATATTCTCTGAGCTGCTCCAGGCCACTATTTTTTCATGAGTGATATTCCTTTCAAGCTACAAAAGGAAGGAAATAATGTTTAGGGTCAGATTATGAGCCTGCAAAGGATGCCCCAATTACTTCAAAGGGCTTGAGTCTATTTCAACAACCAGTAACAATCTTCAAGGTCCTTCCCTAAGCCTCAAACTACTCTGATCTCATTTAAATTCCCCCAAGCAAATCTCTTTCCTCTTTAGAAGTCACAGGACAATTTGATACCAATTCTGGTGTCTGACAGTGTCAGAGCCCAGCAAAGCTCAGTTGACCCAAGTTGAGCGAGCTTGGCCAAGACTTAGCTTTCTGAGGTTCAATCCCCTCTTCTATAAAACAGAGATAATACTATTAGGCTCTTGCCAGGATTGAACAAAATGATGTATGTGAAGTATTTAACATAGTGCTGGCATACAATACATTTTGAATAATGGCTATTCTTGTGATCACCATCTGGGGATTTCTCTCTTCCTCTGTCTCCACCTCTTCACCGGACAGAACAACATAGAGCCAAGGCTCCCCAGCCTTCACTGATTCCCACTTCACAAGCAATCTATCCCAGCGGCAGTATCTCCACTCTGTCAAGGCACTTGCACCCAAAAACAGAGTTTAACTCACAGGTCATTATGTGAGCCATAGCAAAATAGTCTAAGCAAGAGGCCAGAAGTCAGGCTATTCAGAGGAAAGGAAAAGCTGGTTCATTTGTAGCAAATCTCATATCACTCTGTGTCCAGATTCCTTGGTCTGGAGAACAACTGCAGAGAGCTATAAGATGGGAGAGGAAAGCCCTATCCAACAATTTTGGCATTTTGTCCTTTTCTAAACCAATGCAGAAGAACTATCTCATCGAATTGAGATTCTTATATATTCTCTGATATCTCTGATAGATGAGGTGCTAGCCTTCCTCAGGCAGGTAGATAGTAAATAGGGCTGCTCTCCAAAGATCGACACTGAAATATTTTGTAGAAACATGAAAGTGAAGACTTACCTCTTCCAGGCCCTTCACGTTATCTGCAGAGCAAGGAGGCAGCAGGACGAACATGCTGAGCGCCCCCTTAATATACCTCATTTCAAGGATCTGTGTCTTCAGCTCCTCTATGAAGCCAATTCGAAATAGGCCCTTTTGGTTCATCATCTTCACAGTCTTCTTTTCATTCTGCAGTGGACAAGATAGAAAGTAGCAGGACTGCCACCGTAAGCTCACACACTCACATAGCCTCCATCTCTCCATTAAGATGAGAAGGGTCTTCACCAGAAGCTCTGAGCCATACCAGTGATCCAAACTAAGAACGCTCTGCCCACTGATCAGTCAGCCCTTCCTTTGCCAACACCTTATTTTCCCATGGTTTTAAGAGGTTCTTCAGCTCCCAAGAACACTCGTTGGTAAACTGTCTATCCAGGAATCTCCCTACAGCCTAGCCAGGGGAAATAAGCCCCACCAGCTTTCTACCTTCTGTGCCTGCACCACCCAGTCTCTTGGCCCTACCTGACCCCCTGCCCTCGCTGGCCTGAATGACCCACCACAGCACCAGTTGGAGCCTTGGTTAAATGATAATCAGCTACATAGTAAATAACAGCACTTCTTCCATAGGCTTCCATCAGACGAAAGGGCACCACCCCAGACACCTTGTATATGTGAGAAGTCACCAATCTACAGATGAAGATGCACAGCGCTTGCAAAAGGAACACGGCTGACAGGTGCTGGGCTGGGATTCCCAACCTTCCCTTTCCTCCATTCTACAGTCTGATGGATTAGAACATGGGTTTTTGAGACAAATACTCACAGATGTGAGTGCTAATGCATGAACTGAGCTAAGTAATCTAACCTTTGCATTCTTTCCCCTCAACTCCTAAGAGGGAATAATAATAACACCCATTTTCATAATGATATTTTAGCGAACAAGTGAAATAATGAATGGAAAATGCTCCTGGCAGTGCCTGGCACCAAGAAGGTCAATGAACTTCAGGTACTAATTTTTGCTAATAACAAAATATTCTTATTATATTGTATGTCACCCGGAGACCTAAGTTTTAAAGTTGAATGTACATACTGCAAATCATACTTCTTAGTGGAAATTATGAGTACAATATCTAGAAAACCATGTGCTGTAATATCATACCTCATTTAGAGAGAAAAGCGCATCAACTGTGTTTTTAGAGTCAAAATATGTTTCCCATTTGGCTGTGAAGTAAACAGCATTCACCAGCACCAGTACAGTTGCACTGTCAATAGCTTCCTCGTTGAAGAGTTCCTTGATTTTACCTTAAGAAATGTTTCAGAGAATATCCTGAATGTGAATTGTGCCAGAAGTATTCCTGTAGACAGATTTTCCTTCATGCTGCTTCCCATCCCCAAGGCTAGGGCATGTCTGATTCAAGGACTAACCCAAGAAAATTACACCACTCACAGTCCTGGATGTGGTGGAGGGGGAGGGGGGTATGATGGGGAGACACACTGTCACTCAACCCCAAGAGGGACCCATTCTAAATCACTGAAACTGAGGGAATTTCCTTCCATTCCCTGAGACACTGTGGTTGGAACTTGCCATTAGACATCTTATGCCACGACTTACCTTTCTTTTTTTTTTATTAAGTTCAATTAGCCAACATATAGTACATCCTTCGTTTTGATGTGGTGTACAATGATTCATTAGTTGTGTATAACACCCAGTGCTCATCACATCCCGTGTCCTCTTTAGTACCCTTCACCAGGTTACCCACCCCGCGATTTATCTTTCAGAGTAGACTCTGCCACCTGATTAAATTATAACCTCCTGGAGAAACAGACTATTGTGTAAACTTCCTATCTTGAGTGCTCATCAGAGCAAAAGGTATATGTTTACATATAAACAAAAATGCTATAAATATGCTAGGCCAGGATATAAAATCTGTTCGATAGGGGCTTTCACATGTCCTCTCTCATGCCATCCCATGTCAACCATGAGAAGTAGGTATTGTTGTCCCTTCTTATAGAGGAATACACTACAGCTAGTAAGAGGTAAGGCCACAGGGTCAAAAATCAGCAAGGCTGGCTGAGATCAGGTCCTGGGGCCTTCCTGCTCTTGGTCCAGCTCCGAGGCTCCTTCCACCATAATACAGCCCTGAGGTGGACTGGAAAATCCCATGCTGTCAGGCAATCATCCGTTTGCAGTGCGCATTCTTTCCACCGCAAAATACCAAACCATCGGTTATCTGAATGCAGGCCGAGTCCTTAAAGATGAGTAGAGCTTTCTACCACAAGACTTCCACGTAAACTCCATAAATAATAGATTATGTTGACATCACCTACACTTAAAATACTCCAGGAGATTTAACTAGTGCCTTGGTATAAGTTTTTTTAGTGAACACGCATTTCTTCTTGGCAACTGAATGGAACCTTGAAGGAATGGGAATTTTTGTGACACGTGGACCAAGTAAGGAGAAATAATTTTGGAGTTTGGGTGCCCAAGACAAGGCCAGGCAGGGGAGTTTCATATTAAAAAGTTATTCCATTTTATGTTGAATTCTAAATTTCACTACTCATCACTATCTCTAAACACCCCTTCATCCAGAAAACACCTACGTACCTAGTGAAAAGTTGATAAAAATTGGGATTTTATTATTTCCATTTCCCTCTGAATAACTAGATTCTCTTCACAATCTTTCTACTGACCTTTTGTTTAAAAAAATGGAAATAGTTAACATCCTGCTGGCATGTGCTTGGCTGAAAGATTTCACCTTTTCTGATGGAGCAAAGGAGTAACACGGCGTAAGCGTTTAACTGTTTGTGCCTACAAAACTGGCTTTGAACAAGGCCCATGTATGTGAGCACCTGGTTTTGACAGACTAGCAATCTGAGACCACGGGCTGACTTTTCTCCTTTTAAATGGAAAAGAACACCAGCTACAATGTGTTTGGTCTTTCTTACCTTGGGACTGAGATTCAACCCAAAAGTTAATCTGTTGTCTGGACTTTTCGGTGTCCTTCCGGAAATCAACACTTTCAATGGTTGTGTGATAAAATTGAATCACACCATCTAAGTAGTCCTGTTAAATTGGAATAAAGAGAAATAGTACAATGAAATCAGATAACCGTGCTAATAGTTAGGTGTGAGGCAGTCAGGAGAAGCCTAATGAGAGAGATGGCCATTTAAACAGGATGCACGTGGTATCTATCTATCTCCACTCTTAATCAGCCAGAGGCCTTTTTCACTCACTGTGGTGACAATTTAGGATATAGAATGCTTATTCATGGGATGCCTGGGTGGCTCAGTCGGTTAAGTGTCTGATTCTTGGTTTCAGCTCAGGTCATGATCTCAGGGTCCTGAGATGGAGCCCCACATCCGTCTCTGCGCTCAGTGCAGAGCCTGCTTGAGATTCTTTCCCCTTCCTCTCCCTCCCCCTCTACTCCTCCCCCAGCTCGCACTCTCTCTCTTTCTCTCTCTAAAAATAAATACATAAAATCTTTTTTAAAAAGAAAAAAGAATGCCTATTCATGAAGCAGCCCACAGTTACAAGGGCACAAGCCCATTCCTACCAGGTACCCTTTTCCTTGGACATCCCATTTGTGGAGACACTACAACATGAGTATTGAGTAATTTGAGAAGCTTAACTATAAAATGCCTCTATTTTTAAGAATTAAAACCCTAACTATTGGTTACAGAGTTTCTGGAGCGATGAAAACATTTTGGAAATTGGGTGGTGCTTACACAACATTGTGAATGTGATCAATGCTACCAAATTGCATACTTAAAAATGGTTAAAATAGCCATTTTATATTATATCTTACCACAATTACAAGGTAATATGCCCAAACCACTGGTGTGTACATTTTTCATAGGTGAATTGTATGATATGTGAATTTATACCTCAATAAAGCTAGTTAAAAAAAAAAAGACAGCATCTAAAAACTCATTTCCACTGTTAAGAGAACATACTTATGTTGGCCAAAGGAGGCTAAGCCCGCCCCCTCACTAGACCAGCCTAACCAATTGCAACACACATTTGCCTGTGGTCACACCCCTCATGTCCTTTGCTAAGTATGTGGCTCCTTGCAGCGGTGACTGAGGAAGCTGATGTGTCTTGCTGTAGGTACATGCTGCTCAGCCACAGAGCCAAGCCGGGTGCCCTTTGGCTCCAAACGCAATCTCCTTCTGCGACACCACAGTGCTGCTGAGTATAATTCTATTGAGGGGCGGCCTGATGGTGGCACGAAAGGGGATTTTGGAGAAGCACTGGGGGAGGAGTGTGGAGGGACGGGAAGAAGAGCTACCAAGTGCATTTACCAGGCACCTTTGCTGGGAAAGACCATCACAAGAGAGAAGGCCATTTCCAAACCCACAGGTGCTCCAAAAGCTATTAGTCACAGGACCCTCTTTCCACCCACAATGGGCCTCATAAACTGCTCAATTGAAAACTGGGAGAAGGGCAACAGACAGTGTGGGAGAGAAAGAGGTGGGCCCCGGGGAACCCCCCAGTCCACAGCATATCCTTCCGTCAGAGAGGATTGTGTTCCAGGTGCCAGGTGAGTAATCCAGCTACTCACTGATTTTTAAATAGCATGCCATATGATAGTTTTAATCACCAGCCATGCCGAACTCACCGGACAGATGGGGAATTCCTGCTCTCCATAAAGCCTGTTGGCAACACTTAGGGTGTAATCAACTCTGATCCTGTCTATCTTGGAGAGAAGCTGCCCGAAGCAGCAACTGAGCCGTCCACTCTCATCACTGGAAGACTCGGCCTGACAAAAGAAGAAAGAAAAATGTGACCTGATCAGCAGAGTAAAATGCCACCAGAGCACATTGTCGTTTCACTTTGTTACCATGTGGGGGTGCAAGTGAGAAGAAGAGAGGAATGGAGGGCGGGAAGAGGTCCCAGTGGAAGATCATGGCTCCCACTTGGTATCAAAGTCATCCAGGAACAATACATCTGGGGACTCAGCAGTGCACACTGTGTTTCAGATCTGTGCACCTCGTTTTTCTGTATATTCGAAAAGATACAAGAAAAAGACAATCTTCTCTCCACCTTCCTCTTAAACTTTCTAAGGTACAGGGATATTTAACTTGGAAAATATCTTTCCCACTCCTGGTATGAGAACCAATAAAAGCTTTGTGTACCAGTAGATTACCACATGAAATAGACAGGCCAAGGTACAGAAAGCGAGTAAGACTCCCACAGCTGATTCCTATCCCTTACTACCCTTCATCCTCAACCATGCTCTGTCCTGAGAACCTGTGGCCTGAAAAAGGAGATGAGTCATGGGGCTTTGCTCTGTCTTCATCATGAGCAGAAGATATCAGATCCTACTCTTTAGGAGACTAGCTTACAGCCAACGACATATAAGATACATAATCAGAAAAGAATTGGAGGTCCTATGGCATTCTTGCTATTGTTGTTGCTGCTGCTGACAGCCAGGTCCTAACGTCTGGGGATAAGTAACCATTGTCAAATACGGCATAACCAGAATGAGCAGGTCATAAGAAGAAGGACAGGAGCTCAGGGTGGCTCACCTGCAGAGTCAGAGACTCCCCTGTTCCTTTCTGCCCCTCCAGAGAGCTGTCAGCCAGCACTTCTTGTTTTTTGCTTTTCAGACAGGGATCAGGTTCTTTTCGTTCATTCTGGGAAAATTCATTGAAGTGTAGTACCTGTGGGAGGACAATTACGGGGTCTCTCAGACAGTACAAACAGCAGGAGGTCTGAACAGCTCCAGAAATGTTTTCATAGTGTGACAGGGACAGTGATTCCATAGTCAAAAAATCAACAACAGTTCAAAGGGTAGTGGATGTTTCTTTTGACTTGGTTGTGAGGTGGAATAGAAGAAAGCAAACTGCATGTTACCCCCGGGGTCCACATGTAAGAACGAATGCAACCAAACTAAAAGGACATCGAGGTATCCATGAGATACACGTGGCTATTGAGCCAGCCAGACGTTAGTGTAAAACACACATTGGATTTTTGAAGACTTAGTATGAAAAAAAAATGTAAAATATCTCACTTAAATTGTTTGGTTACATGTTGATATGATATTTTGGAAGTATTGAGTTAAGTAATATACATAATTTATTAAAATTAGCCTCACCTATTTCTTTTTACTTTCTTACGGCTGCTAAATTTTTTTAAATTACATATGGGATTTGAATTATATTTGTGTTAGCACTGATCTAGACCTTCCAATCAATAAAGCAAGTGAGGACAGCAAAAGACAGCTACCCAGAGCATTGCAGAAAAGTAGGAGATAAATACATATCTTGCACTGCTCAGGACAGTTTTGCTGGGCAGGCAAAACCCAAGTGCCTGGAGGAAGAACATCTGAAACCTGACCGGGAGGATGCCAATCACACTCTAAAGCTAAGTTTTACTAATGAAATAATATTCCCAATAAAAGTAAATGAATAAAGCAGAATGACCCCAAACATATTCTACCTTAATCCAAGAATTCAACTCCTCCATACTAGGGACAACAGTGGGGTCCCCACATAAACTCTGTGCAGTGTGTGAGATCCGGAGAAGTTTTAAGACCAACCTCAGGAGGCTGTTGATTCTTTGGGGAGTTGTTCTTGTCACATTCATTCATTCATTCATTCTACAAATTTGTATCAGATGGCTACTATAAGCCAAGCACTATTCTAGGACAAAGATTTTCACCATCTGTAGGATTATATTCTAGCGGGGGAGGCACATAGTAATGAATTACTGTATGCATTATCTTGGAAGATGGAAAATGCCATGTGGGGGAAAAGTAGCTAGGGTAAGAGGGAATTTTACAGGGTTGGGAGTCAGGATGTAACATTAGATTGAGAGGTCAAGGTAAGCCTGGTTGAGAAGGTAAACTCTGATCAAAGTCCTGAAGGAGAAAGTAAGTTATAGATCAGTTATGGGGGGGGGGCGGGGGCGGGGAACCATTAGGCAAAGGGAATGTAGCAAAGGCCCTAAGGCAGGAGTGGGCATGCTTACCCAAGGAATCTGGAGGCCAGTGTGGCTGGAGGAGTGGGGAGGGGACAGGGTGATAGAGGGAGTCACCTGGTTGTCAGGAATTCAGATATTAGAACTTCATGGGCCATTGTAAGGACTCGGGCTTCTATCATAAGCTAAATTGGAAGTCCAGGTTTTGAAATGATGAGAAATAGGCTCTGAATGAGGTTTTTAAAGGATCTTTCTGGCAGCCAGGTTGAGAACAGACTGTCGGCAGAAGCAAGGAAGTCCATGAGGAAGTTGCATCCAGGTTAGAAAGGATGGTGGTGAGTCAAACCTCAGGGACAGAGCGGGAAGCACCTGTGTTCTGGATGTGTATCAAGCGAAAAGCCTTTTGGAGTCTGATGTGAAGTGAGAAAGAAAGAGAAAGTCAAGGAGGACGCCAAGATCTTTAGCCACTGGATACATAATTGATGCTTACTAAAGATTTACTTACAGAAAGCAAGAAAACACATAGACATTAAAAATATTGCTAGTGATATCAGTATGGATAATTATAGAGTGGAAGGGGGACAGACATGCAGACAGACAGACGGAGACAGAGAAGGTGACTGAGAAAAGCTATGAGGCTGGAAGGCTGAAGAAGGGTCATAAAGGAGGCAGAGGTTTAACTGAGCCTTGAAGAGAGAGCAAGGTGGGATGTAAATGAAAACTCCAGGGCAGATGCAGCCTCCCTGCGAGCCTCAGGCTCAGTGAGCAGCGTGGCTTGCCAAAGGGGACTAGGGTCTCACTCTGAGAGTGGACCCAGAGATACTGGATCCACACCTGGTCGATCTGTTGTGCACTGTTGCTTCTGGCCCCCAGGCGGACCATGCCAAGGGCAGCCGAGAGGCTCAGAGGACAGAAGAAAATGTTTTTATAAGGATCATCTTTGCTTATCTCCTGGAAAAGATCAAAGCAAAATTTGTTGTTGGCTGCCACGAGAGAATCCATCCTGAGATTGACGACGGTCTAAAACCAAAAACAAAACAAAACAGAGAGAGAAAACATGATGATCAGAGGAAGATAAATAAACAGTTGTCATTTTAAATACATGAGATATAATCATATACAATGATTCAGTATGTTATTAAAAACTCAAAAACTAAGGTCATCATCATCCTGGTATATAGATATTGATGTCCATATTGATATTGATACAGACAGACGTCTATTTTCATTTAATGATGTGAATTAGTTTCCTAGAGCTGCCGTAACAAATTACCACAAACTAGGTGGCTTAAACAACAGGAATTTATCTTCCCTCAGTTTGAGAGACCAGATGTCCAAAATCAAGGTGTTGGCAGGATTGGTTCATTCTGGAGGCTGTCAGGGAAAATCTGTTTCCTGCCTCTCTCCCAACTTCTGGTGGTTTCCAGCAACCGTTGGCGTTCCCTGGTTTATAGAGGCATCACTAATCTCTGCCTCCATCTTCATATGGTGTTCTTCCCTGTGTCTTCTGTGCGAGTCCACATTTCCCCTTTCTTATAAGGACACCAGTCATTGGATTAGGGCCCACACTAACCCAGTATGACCTCATCTTAACTTAATTACATCTGCAAAGACCCCATTTCCCAATAAGAGCACATTCACAGATATCAGGGATTAGGTCTTAAACATGTCTTTGGGGGACGTGATTCTATTGTGGTAGAACTTCCTTTATTCAGGTAAAACAAAGTCATAGGCAACCGTGTCCTCATGGTCAAGTCAGCAACCAAGAAAACTTTATTCCACCTCCTTCTCCACAGGCTATACGTGGTTCTGCTTAAGTCCTTTGCCAGCACATTCTCCCAACATCCTACGACTGAGGATACCCAGCAAACTGTCATGGGCCATGTCCTTTGTCACCTTCTCACCTCCTTTTGACTCATTCCACATGCAACCTGCTGGCCTTCAGGTGGTGCTTCAGTCAGTCATTGATATTATTGTTCAAGAGATCATTGATCTTGAAAGATGTTGAGAGTTTAGAAGCCATTAAGTTTAATACTTTCTCTTAACAGTGTGGAACCCCAGGTGATATGGAACCAAAGCAAGGGAGTGACTCCTTCAGGACAGATTCCTTGCCCCTCACCAATAATCTGTCCCAGAAGTATCAAGAAAATCAAGAAAATCTTACGTAGATCTCAGCTCGGACCATCCCAAAAGAAATGTCTTCTTGTTTATCTTTTTGTCTATGGATATTGTGTATTTCCAAGATGTAAATGTAAGCCCCCTTATGTGTGTTTTTTATCATCAGACATGTGGCACACAGTAAAGCATTAAGAAATCATTATTGCATTGAATTGAATGGTGTACATTGGTTTTAGCATCTTCCCAGCTTAACATCAACTTTTTTAGTCTATAAAACCTAATTCAAAAAAATAAGAGTTACCTTTTTTAAAATGTGCCAAACATATGTTTTACATATATTAGCTTTAACCCTACAACTTTACAGGAGAGATGTTGTCATTCCCTTTTTACAGATGAGAAAAGAATCGAAGAATCAGTCACACATGTTGGCCTAAACTAAGTGCTCTTTCTGCTCTATCTACTATTTCTACTAAGTTGCCCTCAGTGTAGGACAGGCACGTGCCTGCTATATTTTGGTGTTTTCCCCCTGTTCAGCTTAGCACCCATTTTTATGCTTACATTTTTTTTCCTGCCAAATTTGTACTTGACATATATTTCTCATTTTGTGCTGGTAAAGCTAGGTTCAGGTAGATGTTTTCCAAGAAACATGTGTCCTGAGTGTGCCTGGAAATTCAATAATGCTTCACACCTCAGGAATCTACATTCTTTATGTGGAGAAATATCTTCACATCCAACATGTTCACTCTACAACAGTGACTGGCATTACCCCTTCAGTAACAAATTTACCAAGAAAGTGGAGAAATCAGATAAATTCAAGGTGGCCTGAGTCAAGGGAGATTGCACAGGGTTGAGTTAAATCATAAAATTTGGATAAAAAGTAATCTCATATTTTTTTAAGCCTTGGTCATATAATCAGGGTTGCTACTTGATGCAAATCTCTGGCACCAAAGGAAAAGGCAGTAGATGCTCTGGCTATTTGTTCACTACTAAAAAAGAAGACTAGAGACACAATACTCAAGGCAAAGGTGAGATTTGGATGGAAAACTGAATGACCCCAATCTGGCTCTTTAAATGTTCCAGCTGTTTGCTCAACTTTAGCCTGTTTCTTTCTATGGATGTGCCCCTGGAATCAGAGGGGAAGGGTGTTCCTTTCTGGCATGACATGCACAGAACTGAGCAACTGGAGTCTTACCTAATACGGGAACGACATGATGGCTCATGCAGGCCAACTCCCTTCTTCTTGAGACTAAAAATCCTGAGGCGAGAAGTGGTAGTGACTTGCACACAATCACATAGCTGGCTGGGAGAAGAGCAAGGCTCAGACCTCTCCATGCCCAGGCCTGCTCTCCACTGGAATAGACTGTGTTTTGTGCCCATTTCTAATTTGGCTACTACCCTTACTCACTCTGGGAGCTGCAGTGCACCCCCAAACTCTCTCTGCCCACTGGTACCTAAAGAACATGGAACCTACACTAAATTTTGTGAACTTTTCATGCATTCCCTACCCTGGCTCCAACTACTATCATGTCCTCTCCCAGCAACAATTCCTTTTCCTGAGCCTCATTGGGTTCTACCCCATGGACTGGTTCTAAGTTTCCATTAGAGTCAATGTGGCTTAACTCTGCCCCACCTTCCAAGGGAGGGGTGAGAATGGTAGTCATAGAAGAATGGCCTAAAAACTGCAGTTGGTATTGGATGACTGTATGTACACATTTATTACAGAAGAATCTTTCCTGGTGTTATATAAAACTCTAAAATATTGAAAAATGAGCATTTAACAACTAGATTAAAATGTCATCCAGTAATTGCCTTCTGGGGGCTGTTGTTGTTTTGCTTGTTTTTAAATTAGAAACTGGCTAAATCTGACAGTAACCTAATTACCCAATAACCATTTATAAAGTTCTCCCATGAGGATAGTCACTGCACATAAAAGGATTAGCTGAATGAGACCCGATCTTTGCCTCTGAGAAATCCACCGTCTCATAGAGCAGGTACTGCAATAGAAGCAGCTCCAGTTGTGTAAGAGCATCAAGGAATCTGGTACTCATTTACAAAATGAAATAGAAAAAACAGAGGTGCCTGGGTGGCTCAGTTGATTGAGCATCAACTCTTCGTTTTGGCTCAGGTCATGATCTCAGGGTCATGGGATCGAAGTCCCTATGTCAGGCTCTGCACTCAGCAGGGAGTCTGCCTCAGATTTTCCCCCTTCCCCTCCCCCCACTCACGCATGTGCCCTCTCTCTCTCTCTCAAATAAATAAATAAAATCTTTTTTTAAAAGAAGACATGGAAAAAGCAGAAGGGAATTACATAAAAAATTACATAATATTTTCTTACATAAGAAAAAATTTTTCAACAGCACTCATCAAGACTTATTCCAGTATTACTCTAATAACGTTCACGCAAGCAATTTAAAAATATAATACTTTCAACATTTCTAAAGCTACCTAACACTGTTGTTATTCATTAAAGAGAAGCTTTGGTGGTCAGTAAAAGCCATGTTATGTTGTTACAACAAAAAATAAAGTAAAAAAAAAGCTCTAAGGTCAATTTTCTTGTCTTCATCAAAAATCCCTTTACATCAGTACTAATTTGAAAATAGTATGACCAAGCCGGTCTCCAAATCCACTGGATTTACAAATGGGACCAACTTAGCAATAAATGGAAAGTAGAGATCTAATCATCATCATACTAAAATGTAACCATAGCAGATAATTTTCAGAGGTGTATAGCAAAATAACTTTCAGATTTTAAAAAGTGGTGTGTACAAATAAGTTCATAGAAACACTTTCATATTAGCCCAAACTCAGAAACAAACCAAATGTCCATCATCAGTAAGATAAATAAACAGCTTGTGGGTCAGTCATACTGAATACACACCAATGGTGTGAACTATAGTCACCCCATAATAACATGGAATACACACCAATGGGTCTGAGTGAACTATAGTCACCCCATAATAACATGCACAAACTTGAGTGAAAGAAGATGTATGGAAAGAGTCCATGATAATACAGTTACATATAACTTCTCTATATATTTATGTATGTATATATACTTATATATAAATTTTATATGCATGTCCAAAGTTTAATTTTAAAATGTCTTCTAGATGTATTACTAAGCATGGCAGCAAATTTTAAAGCACTGCAAATTTATTTGTGTTTAACACAAGAACTAAGATTACATGGAAAATTGAAGAATAACTTCTCAAAATGAAATTCGGTCTCCAGATGCAATTAGGAAGTTCCCTAAACATTAACAGGAGATACTTTACATCTGCTCTGGAAAACATCCACCACACAAAGAAGTTACTGTTTGACGTTGAAGTCTGAGTCTAAAGGCTGATAGCTGAGGTCAGCGGCTCCTTAACAAGCTACAACTTGAAACACTTGCACATAATTTACTTCAGTCATCATTATTTCCAAACAGACTTGAAACAACCTTTAAAATAGCAAGGTCCCTCAAAAATCTATTCAGCTCAAGGAATTAGTACTACCCCACCTACAATGACTTTGTAATAATAGCTACCATTTAATTTGCCTACCATGTGCCTGGCATTTCACAAATGTTGGCTCTAATTCTCAAACAAACCTGTAAATTAGAAATTATCTTCATTTGACATCCAATCATTAAGTGACACAACTGGTCAACAAATCCGTCAGTTCAGTCACCCTCTTTCCTCCTATATCATGCTGCCATCTGGAGCAGATAGCACTTGTCCTCTGCAAGACCATGGCTCAAGTAACCCACCACACAGCTTCGTGACAGGAAGATGTACTTATAATAAATAAGAAAATAATAAGACAAAATAATGATAATAAAGTAACAAAACATGTATTATTGGTTTCATTGTTGTCTCTGACCAATGGCCAACACTCATATA